GCGGCGTAAAACCAAACTCAGTCAGTCAGTCAGTACATGCTAACATCACTATCAAGCAAGTGATGGAGTTGGAAGCTGTGAGCGTGCAGCCATTGTTGCCAGTAGACATCGACCCGTAGGCCTACACATTTGTTTCGATAGTTTTGAATTCAGCAGGACCTTACGGCTTAAACATGGTAAATGAATCATAACACTGAGGTTACTTTCTAAAACAGGGTTCAGCTTTAAAGTACGCTGCACGGTAATTTGTCATACTGACCGGGAGGCAAAAGCGCAGATGAGGTTTAAGACCAGTTTATGTGCCCTTCACTCCATGCAGTGGGTATCGAATTTCTTGCTGTTTATACCATCACTGCACTGCTATAGAGCTCCTAAATATTCTTCAATGAAGCATACGATTTTATTGATAACAACTTCTTGTATATTGCATAAAAGCACCAACAAGAAGTTGTCCATATCGTCTGCTTTATGATTGACTCACCAACTTTAACAAATAACCATAATTCTTTCCGATCTAAACTATTGGGCCTACTGTGTTTTCCTGTGTACTTTAAACTGTACTTTAAACGCGCTGGCCCTTAAGCTCTCTGAGTATCGTACATCCAAGCATACAGCAGCTGAATGGTAGGGAGTGTACACAACGTCTAAATCAGCTGCACAGTGAAAGCAAGTATTCACCCATGTCTCTATGTGGCTAAAACTTAAACAATTAATGGTTATACGATGGCGATGTACTTGATACAGTTGTGTTCTGGACCGTAAGTTTGCAATATTTCGGGGACTGTTTTCAGACGTTTTGATAACGTTTGTAGTTTTAGGTGAAATACAATCTGCAAGTGTGTATTTCCTTTTGTATGTGATGTTTACACAGGAATGTTGAAATAAATCTCTAATTTCATTTAATGCTCACGGCTTAATGCAAACGTGAACAATTCGGCATTAAACACAATTAGAACGCCCAATGTCCGCGGAATTAGTCATGCATTTTCGTCAATCTAAAATAGATACCGAGTTTGACACACCTTTCAAAATATAGATACACTTAGAATATGAGGGAATCTGAGTGCAAGCTATTCTTTCATTTTGCGAGTATAGTAACTTATTGTGTCATTTACTAACATCATACATAGTAGCTCAGTAGCCATTACAGTGATCCCTCCCGCAGTGATATTGCTGGAATATTGATAAAAGCGGCGTAAAAACCAGACTCACTCACTCACCACAATGACCCCTCCCAATCCCGGACACTGTTAATCTGGTTGATCACTATTTTCAAAGGCTATGTAGAAGAATTACAGGAGCACGGCGGCATAAAATAGATGTCAATCAGGATGTATTTTGATTGGAACATTTTATCCAATGTTTATCAAGAACGCCAATTGAGTGAGTGTACATGTCCCCTTTCAGCACTATTTCACCAAACTCAAGACGCTAGAAAATTATTATGATGTTATGTATTGCACTCTTGGCCACATGGGGAGGTGTGGTGGCCATGTGGTTAAAGCGTTCACTTGTAACGCCGAAGACCCGGGTTCGATTCCGCATATGGATGTGTAATGTGGATCCCATTTCTGGTGTCCCTCGCAGTCATGTTGCTGGAATACAGCTAAAAGTGTCTTAAAACCTCATTCACTCACTTGGCCAAGTGACCTTTACTGTGGAATAATCTCACTGTTATTGTTCTACGTGATGACTCCAACCCGATGTTTGCAGTTTGGTCTCAAACAATGAACAAAAAGCTGAATCAAACCTAAAAAATGTTTTCCCACAAGTTCGCTACAAAACCACACCGACAGATCGAGTGCAGAAATACTGCAGCCTCTTGAGCCAAACCCACACAGACCACTCGTTGAATGAGCAATCCGTGGAATGTTTCACCGACAAATTGTCAAAAAGTACTATTATACTAGCTGCTCCCAGCATTCCGTCCTACTTGAGACACTTATAAATGAAAAAAACAACGCAAAGAGAAAAAAAATCGACAGAAAGCAAATATCACGATTTTACCCGTATTTGCACAGCAACGCTGTAGAGTTTGCATCGCGCCATTCTACATAACAGTAAAAAGGCGTGTTCCCTTCTGACACCTTCGTCGAGAAGACATGAGAATCTAATTAACCGTTTCTGCTGTGTGTCATATTTGTGGATGTAATATCAGGGGGTTTATTTATTGAGAGCGAGATTGCTTGGTGGAGATAACAGAGCCTCAGGTGTGGGGTAATTATGTTGATGCAGGTGGAAACTTGACTACATCACGAAGTAATGACAAGATGGGTGTTGACATAGGCTACATGTCGATATCAGCTGGTTGCTTGATTGCTGGGTGATTGTTCTGTTGAATAACAGTTAATATGTAAATAATTTGGTTTGGAAGTGCAAAAGAGCAAATGATAAGGATAAGGCTTTTCGACATTAACTGGCCGGTCGGTGTGTTTATTGTTTGTAAAAACAATTACCATTTTGTTATTACTTTGGTTTGGAATATAAGTGTTTAGAAATAATATTACACGGTGTTTTATGCAGTTGAAATTTTAAAGAACTGTGAAAACATACTTGTTTAGATCTATATCGGCTGACGAGCTGATCGTTTTGCTGAATAATGATGAGAGTGTACATGTGTTTGTTTGGAATAAACATATAGAATTATAAAGTGTTGGATACAGAGCTTCTGACGATGAACTGAGAACACTGACTTGTGTGGGTGGGGTGTTGTGGGGGTGGGGGTGTTGGTTGTTTTTTAGTGTTTAAATAAAGGGTTTGATTTGGAATAAAAGTTTTAATGACAGAGAAACTAAAAGAACATGATATTTCGATTTTCACTCAAGCCGTCAATGTACACATTTCGCCTGGTTGTGTCGTAAGGTTTGAAAGAGTTGTCTCCCTTGATGTACATTGCGTTACGTGAAGGTTGCTGTTAACTTCTCAGTCAGTTGTGAATGAAAGTTTGCAGATGTTAACGTAAACCATATAATTATATTTTCTCACCTAATATATCGTTTGATAGCAATACGTACCATTTATAGTCGTATTGCGGTATACCGGTAATACCATGCATGCAGTCCTAGCATAGTGTGATACAGTACTCCACGACCCGTATGGTGACTGATATTACTGACTAGTACCGACCAATTAGTCAAACCTCTATAGATTCCCTTCCTTATCTGAGTGCTCTCACGGTTAATATCTTCTGTTTTTCATGATTTATTAAAAAAGCCCCGACAGCATCGAAGCAATGGCGAATAATCACTCAAGTAATTATTACCAGATAACGATATTGGACGTGTGAAGTCAGAATTTACACCAAGCTTTTGAAACTAGTTTCCTATGTTACAGTGGTCTTGGTTATTGTGTCAACGTGGGGAGCACATTGCAAGTCATTGGCTTGAGGTTAAAACATGGGAATCAGGGGCGGACACAGCTTTTTGAGAAAGGGGCGGGGGTGGGGTGCACACTATTGAGAAAGGGGGTTGCACACTTCATTTTCACGAGAGTTTCAATGGTCATTTAATAAATTTTCAGGACGGAGGTGGGGTGGGGGTGTTGTTGTCACGCACCCCTGCAACAACACCCCCCTCCCCCGGATCTGCCTATGCATGTGAGTGAATAGGGTTAAAGGTGTTTTGTTTCTTTTTTGTTTGTTTAACACCGCACTCAGCAGTATTCCAGCTACATTGCGGCGGTAACTAATAGAGTCAGGACCAGACAATCCAGTGATCAACAGCATGAGCATCGATCTACACAATTGGGATATGATGACAAGTCAGCAGGCCTGACCACCCGATCCCGTCAGTCACCTCTTACGACAAGCATGGGCTACTGAAGATCAATTCTAAACCGGATATCATTGGTCTAGAGGCGCTTTGGACAGTGAGTCTGTTATATGAATGCACGTCAGAGCGTCAGCTTGACGTGGGAGGAAAGGCGTTACACTGGTCAGGGCAATGGACACACATATGGTTCTGACAAACACGGAATACTAATCAGAGCGGACCGGGATTCGAACCATGAACCGTAAGGCTCTGGAACGCACACAAGTTGACTCTTCTCAGAGAATTGTAGCACCTCTGACGAATGACAACAATCTTCAGCTAAAAGGGCCTTTATAGTGTGATCTCATTTCGATCTTACGTCACAAGAAGATTCGAATGATGTCAGCAATGCTATCGGGATGACGTAAAACAATACAATGGTGCACGTGAAGAAATATTTACACTTGTGCACGTCTTTACGAACTTATATATTTTCAACCCCGTGGGTAAGACACATGGGTGTATTTCAAAGCTTATACAAACTAGTCATCGTCAAGTTAAATGAAATATTTTCAACGCCACATTTACAGCCAAGTAGCCGAGGCCTGTAAATATATGAGACAGTTTTACCAACTTTCTTCAGGTGAAGCTTTGTGACCACCTCTTTATAGCCGTGGCCGTGTTTGTTGTCAGGGGCGACTAACGGGATCGGATGATCAGCTTAGATGACTGGGTGGACATATGCCATCGTATCCCTATTGCGTAGATCGATGGTCATGATGTTGATCTCTGGATTGTCTGGTCCCGACTCCATTATTTACAGACCGTCACCATATACGGAATAGTGCTGAGTGCGGCGTAAACAACAAACAAACAAAGTCTTTATTGCCCGGTCGCTCCGTGGTGTAGTGGATACAGCATTTGCCCTTAGATGAGAGGAAGGTCAGTTCTTAGATCCTCGGTCTCGTCATACTAAAATACATTAAAAGACGTTACTTCTCAAGCAGGCCAGGACGGGGCGTTACATACTAGATTCATATTGAGAATCGAACACGATCTCTGCCGCAAGGAATCACTCCTTAAACATGGCTACCTTGCCGTCCAAAGAACATTTAATTTAACAAAATGTTTTCAATGCCATGGATGTGGATAAGCATAAGTTGACGGTGATGTGGGGATCCTTATACGCTGCTGTCATGTGTGCCAGAATTCAGTCATTCATGAACTATACATAACATAAACAAGATCAAATTGTCGTGAACTAAAATATACTTTATTAAAATAAATTCATGCATCTATATAAAACGTAACATGTTTCTTCGCGGACGGATCATATGTAAAATCATAACTTCCTCAATTTGTACGTGCGATGCTTTTAATTCTGACTTCATATCGCAAATATATGAGCTCTCGGGAGCTAAATGGTGGAATTATTGCCATAAGATATACTGAACAAGAACATAACAATTTGATTGAAACCAATATGAACAAAAAGGTTTAAACTGTTCAACACGTAACATTGGGACAAAAACACACATTAACATCAATACGTCCACAACTACATAACTGACACACACTGAGAGACTATCGGTCCTTGTTGTCGCTCTTCAAGGAATGTTTTGATTAAAGTTGGCGAAGAATTTGGCGTGTTATTAGCTGGGTATGGGGGATACTGCACCAGACAGAATGTCGAGGGTTGTACACGACCATCCCGCTGGTAAATCCCGTACCCGCTAGTAAGTGAGTGAGTGAGTTTGGTTTACGCCGCTTTTAGCAATATTCTAGCAATATCACGGCGGGGGACACCAGAAATGGGCTTCACACATTGTCCCCATGTGGGGAATCGAACCCGGTCTTCCGCGTGATAAGCGAACGCTTTAACCACTAGGCTATCCAACTGCCCCGTACCCACATGTGTTAAACGTGGCAAATGCAACGAATGTAACAGGTGCTCACAAATACATACAGTTTTCCCGTGAGATGTGTTTATGTGACAATATCAGATCTGCCTGACATCACACTGATCGTTATGGACCCTCAAGCTGCAAAACAGGGCCATAGTGGGATAAAACTGGTTCCCGTTCGTTCCTCCGACAGGCTGGGAAAGCCGGGTAAGTGCAGCGACACCAAGCGGAGGATCCGTGAACCAGTATGCAGAGGGATAAGTGGAAGACGTCATAGGCGACAATGTGACGTCACGTTGGCTTACCCTGTTGCATGTTTTCTACAATGTTTTCGAGACTGGCCAATCAGATAACTGGATTTCATTACGAGTGAAGACAATTTTAATTATCTTGGCGGTTGAAGTCGTAACCACTGATGTGATAATGAACCAGAAGTGGATATGACGTACGCTTTCTGGTATAACGTACTACTAGTGTCTTGTTGCTGCATTACGCCGCTTGGAAAACAAATAATGTGTGGATAATGTATGGAGAAGTGATTGCAAATATGAAAAGTTATCAAGATATAGATCTTTTAACTGAACATTATATAAATAATTAGACTAGAGCGGCAGTATATACATAACAATTCACACACCTATGATATAATGTACCACTACACAGTATACGGTTTTACGCTAATATAATAAAGCTTACACATTAGGTATTTTAGAATTTGATGAACATAAGTGCTATGACGGGATAGACAGAAGAAAAGTTTGGAAATGAACCTATTCTGTTTGAATTTTTTAAGATGGTTCGTGGTCACAATGTAATACATGGGCGGATACAGCATTTTGAGAAAGGGGGCTGCACAGTTCATTTTTACCCGTTTTCACGAGAGTTTCAATGTGCATTTAATACATTTTCTAGAAAAAAGGGGTGGGGTGTGTTTTTTCATGGGTGCGCACCCCTGCAAACACACCCCAATCTGCATCCGCCAACGAAATAGGTTCATCTCCTTTCTGTTATGCATTGTTTTAATATGGACTCTTTTACCTGCGCACACACTAAGCATTTCAGTATTTGGATAATATCCATAGTGCGTCATATTTTATGAGAGACATGTCATCTCCAGGTACCCCCGACAGTAGGCGTCACTTTGGAGAACTCCATGAGAACTGCATGGTATTGATAAACCAAGGAGGGTAAGCAGAGCCAAATTGGGATTCCAAGCCACTTTCCCTGGTTCTTTGGCCACTAAGGCAGCTGGTATCCGGTTTTATGTGTTAACTTTCTAATATTATTAAAAAAAAATATACTTTTGACTGTTCGTTCCCACACCTAAAACCATATTATAATCATTACAATGAATCAGCATAGTATCCACATACTAATGCATTGATCAGTTACTTTACGCTGATACTAGCTAAGCATAATACTGTTTTGTTAAGCAATTGAATTATGGGGTTCATTTTATACCATACATTAAACCACCCGGGTCCCTTTTAGGTAGAATTTCGTTACTTCAAGAACACGTGTCTTCATGGTCTACACGCATGTGTTTTCAAATCAAATTTGAAATATTAAGATATCTAGTCTTGAACTAAACACCTTTGTTGTACAAAGACCTTTTGTATCACATCTTTGAGTACAACAACCGTGTAGAGACATCTACAATCTGATCAGGTCACACAGAAGCGTACAGATTAGTGAAAGCTCTAAGGGTTAACCCTGGGAAGTAATAGCACTTGTGAAAACAGCAGTGTCAGCTCAGTCTCGCCTATTTTCCTGGGGTTCCACTCCGACCTGCTGGCGTCTTAGATTTCGGTGTAATAGCCTTCCTTTGACCTTGCCTCAAGTTTGGGCCAATCTCTTTCCGTTTGGCAGCCTTCTCTGCCTTCAGCTGAAAATATACAAACAAAGAAATTTGTATTGCCGTTAAATATTAACGTGACATGAAAGCGACGTGTAAGTAACTATGTCAATGAGTGAGGTGTTTAAAACTGCGTTCAGCAGTATTTAAAGGTAATTCGCAGTGTGTCATTTTTGCAGGAAAGCCGGACTTTATGCACTTTGACGTTTACCAATTTTGAAACATAAATGGGTATGACTCTGACAAAACTGTAAATAAAATCAGGGCGAAAGCTGGTTTCGAACCTAATGGGTTGAAACAATATACCGTAATAATGTTTTTATCATTAACATTATGTGTTTATGAGATTCGCAGGTAAATATTTGATATTCAATTGTGTATCAAGCTGATAGTCACCCAAATTGAAGGGTAGAAAGAAATCATTGGAGCTGGATTGAATATACTGAAAATGATCTTTACGGGAAAACACACTTTTAAAATCCCTAAATTCTGAAGTCCATATAGGCCTCCGAATTTATCTTTCCATTGATAAAGACACATTTATCAGTGACAGTAAGTGAGAGACTACATGATGGTTTATGTTCGCTAAATGTGTGACGCCAGTTACTAGTATACATAAGTCTAAATGTGTGACGCCTGTTATACGTAAGTCTTGACTTTTACAAGCCTGTTGTAACCACCGAGCAGAGAAATAGTGCTGACAGACATGAAAACATTAAGAAAGCTCCACTGGGATTCGAACCCACGACCATAAGTTTCGTACTTTGACGACAGGGCCACCCATGCTCAGTTAGCATTTGTACACGTTCAACACACGTCTCCTGATGTACCCTTTCGTGCACAACACACGTGCAGGTCTCAACATTAACAGTCCCTGACGTACCCTCTCCTGGTACCGCCTCTCGAAGTAGTCCATGTCTTCCTCCCCAGGGCGTCGCATGGCGGACACCCTCTCTGTGATGTCGTCGAACACCTCGTCGTCCGCCCCCTTGATACCTGGTGTCATACAATCAGTGAGTGAGTTGATACTGAGGTCATATCAGAGAACAGCAGAAAAGGAGATATCTTCTTCTGTAAAAGGAGTTATCTCACTCTTGCATGCTAATGTCTCTTGCAACTCGAACTACAAAGTAGTAAAACTATGAAAAAATGTAATTGATTGGGTCTATCATGTTTTCTGTATGTAACACTAATGGTGACCACTTCTTACTTATTGGTCTAACTGTTTACCTGATGTCTTCTTAGCCATCTGATGAGCTTTGATAGAATGGACATTGGCTCTCAGGAACGGATTGTCGTTGGAGGTGATCTCCTGGTCAAGGAACTCCTTGCTTGGGGCCCCTGTCAACAAGATTGAAGGCAGGACATCATTTGTCTGTCATCAAAGGAAACTTGTACAAACATTCACCACTTTCTGTTGTGTGATTTGCGTGTGTGCGGTTGTGTGGCGTTTTCCGGTTTAATAAGGAAAAATGAGAGTGCGAGTGAGTAATTCTTGCAACTATTCGCAGCGAGCCCGAGGAAAGAAACGTTTGTTGATATGCTGGCCTTCATGAAAATTAAATTGTCGCCTTGATAAAAAGTGAAAAAAAATCACAGCTTATGCCTTGAAGCAGTGACTGACAAATATACCAGGAACTAACTCACTCCACTAACAGTGGCCGAAACCCGCTCCTCTTCTTATCCCAGACCACGAAATCATTTATCCAAATATACTTAAACTGACATGCTACTGTAGGAAGCTGTCCATCTTCGGCGTTACTTCTTAGTTATCAGGTCATAGATATTGATGCCAGGTTACCTTGTCCACTTGGGTCCAGCCTCATGTACCCCTCGGCCAGGGAGGAGAACCCCGTGAGCCCACCCATGGCGGCGTAGGGTGTGGCCTGACCAACAGGGTGACCTCTCCCCTCCCTCTCATCTGCTGTCTCAACGATCATGGTGTGTTGATGGACGGGCGAGCCACAGCCACAGGTGAAGGGACTCTTGAAGCCTGTGCACTTCGTACAGCCACCTACATTAATCATCAGTACTGCTATATTTCCTCTATTGGTATGAAAAGTAACACTCAAGACTCCGTAAGGACATATATATCTCTCTCCCGCCCCCATCTGAATTGAAGTGAATTTGTGTAGGCCCATTTCGGTTGCCCCCTGCCGTCACAATGCTGGATTACTGTTAATGATAGAGTACTTGTTCTGGTCTGGAGTAGTGCCGGTTTTATAGTGCAAGCCCTCTGAGATGCCACGCTGCTGTTTGAACCTCTCAGACACATCTAACTGACTCTCAACCAATAAGTGCCTGTTTTATTATCTTAGAGTGAGTGAGTGAATTTAGTTTTACGCCGCACTCAGCAATATTCCAGCTATATGGCGGCGGTCTGTAAATAATCCGGTCTGGACCAGTGATCAACAGCATGAGCATCGATCTACGCAATTGGGAAACGATGACATGTGTCAACCAAGTCAGCGAACCTGACCACCCGATCCCGAATAATCGCCTCTTACGACAAGCATGGGTTACTGAAGATCAATTCTAACCAGGACCTTCAGGGGTCTTATTCTCTTTGAGCCAGTCAGAGTAACAACAGGAGCCATCTTGTTACGTCAATGGATATGAGGCAAGAAGGAGATCTAATCTCTACCCGCTACAACATGGAGAAGGTGTACAGATCAGCATCTGCTGTACAACATAAATATAGTACATGTACAAAGTAGCCCCTACCATACCTCAGTTTAACAGGTATACAGATTCTAACAGAACATACAAACCTTTTTTGCACACAAACGGTCCCTTCTCAGAGTGGTCATCGGCCGTGTGTTTACACGTGCAGCGGACAGGCTGACCGCCGTTGAGGGGGACGTAGTGGTAGGAGACACACTTGCACCCCTTGGCCCTGCACAGGAGGAGGATGGGGCGTTCCGTGGGGATGTCCTCAAAGTCGGTCTGATGCTGTTTGTACCTACAAAGAGGAAAAACACAGTGACGGAATTCGACGCAATAAACACGATAATGTTGTTAAACAAATTTGAAATGCAAACACGTAAATTTAAACTGTTGTAATGTTCGGTCTTACCAAGACGGGCTTATCAAGATCATTTATAGATTGGCCTTGAAATTTGTGAGGGGGCGCTGATTGGGACAGGGACCTTAGTAATCGTGGTGGGATGTATGGGCGCCAGAGACGTGAATTGACACGTTTTAACCCAATGTTACAGCTTAAGCAATATATTTTACAGGTGCTTCGATTAATAACGCTTTCCATTGCTGGACTCGCAACGACAGCTGGAGTCCAACCTGGGTGTTTGTGATGTTTACGTACCTGTGTTTACAGAAACAAAGGGTTTCTGGACCAATCATCTTACAGTCCATTCCAGTCGGCGATGACCAACTCGTGAACAGGCGGTTTTTCATTCGCTGAAAGATGAGGAATGTTATGTTAAAATATTACATCTGGTTAAACAGACATAGTTTCTCGTATTTAAGAATACATGTGCGTCTTAATGCATTGAAACATATCAATATTTTTTGTGATAATAATGATGATAATTGTATACAGATGTAATCAAAAATATATAAGAGATAAGCCCCCATTGAAATTCATCTAAATGTAAATGTGCGTCGTAAATATAGTCAGTAAACTAGAAAAATAAATACTACAACTATTACTGCTACTGCTACTGATGATGATGATGACTCACCATGGGAATGACCCTTTTCTTATAGTCCTCGTACTCGTCGGGGGTGAACATGATGCCGCCATCGTCCTCCCCAACAATTCTGCAAGTGACAGAGGTGACAGTACAGCTTCATTCCTAAACACACAGTAAACTTCTATATGTTGTTGCGTTTACGTGTAAATGAATACGTGCAAGTTCTAGATACCAGGCGAACTATAGCAAGCTACCTGGCAAAGTGGCAGAATATGGCGAATCTATTCAGACTGTAATTCCTGCATACGAAAATCGCCCTATAGCTTGAGAAAGTTGTTTTCTTTTTCTCTGATGTCAATTTATTGTTGGTGTCATTTAATTGGTCGGTCAAAGTTCCCGAAAGGTAGTTCCTGTGACCTGTGAAGGAAGCAATGCCCCCGGTCCTGGTTCAGGGGAACTGATTTGCATAAGATTGCCTTTTCAGTAACATGCACAATTCATACATTGGAGTGAGTGAGTGAAGGGTATTTTATTGGGCCATTCTTGAGTATTGTCATCTCTAAACTTTGCTTTTTGCAGTACATGTATGCCTGTATAAGCCTGCCTTCACATGGACATAATGACTGGTTTATCCACGATGTGGCGCCAAATCTAGAGGATAATCTAGAAGTAAGAGGTTCTGGAAAAGTGCATTTTAGGGCTTTATAACCGCTTGGAGCAGTACTTTTAATGATACATAACAATAATTGATTACTTAAGTGTCTAGTATCCAGTTATATGGAGAGACTTGAAAACGTGTTGAGATTTAATGTTTTTTAGTTCAGAAGGTTTTATGCTGGAAGAAACTACATAATGCCGCGGGTCTAAGTCTGTTCAGACTAATACGCCTTTTGATCTAGATTACAATAGTTCCTGATTATTTAATAATTACCAAATAATTTATATTCATGAACTTATATAATCATAAATGTCTGTAACAATGTATATCAATCGTCCCGTCTGACCAGTTACACACATACAAAGACCCCGGCTGTTTGAACTCTATTCTAACGGTAGCTACATGTACGCTTGAGGGGTGCGCCTTGTTTAACATAGCGGATCTAACACGCATGGGCACGTGACCCCTGACCTATTGTAAAACAGAATATATATGTTGCGGGCTTCAGCGTTACTGGAATGCAAACAGGTTTCTGACGAGGAGTACTGTTTTAGATCTGAATGACAAATCCGTTACGTTAACGTAACTTAGTAATAAATGATATTTTCAGGTAAATCTTCCATGGCAGCAGTACCGAGGCGGACATGTTTAAATGCTTTCCTTTGAATGCTTCCATTATTTTTCAAAGAAAACCAATATAACCGTTAACTGCATGAGTAACAGTGATGGTTTCCAAATTACAAATGGTAGTCATGGTAACTCCAAAATAATAACATCGTCATGATACAACATGTTCGATATATGTCAAATCCGATCCAATTGATTAAAAGTCAGACCACCAATAATACTAATCTTACAAATATATACACCCAAACTCATTAAAGCAACATTGCCCCTGGTAAATTCAGTCTCAGCGATTTTCCTGATAAACGAATCAAGTGAGGAGCAGAGTTCTCCCATAACAGGTTTCATTCTCATGAATGCAGACAAGGATGGTACACCCATAATTTTATCAGAATCAATTCTCTTCTTCCTATGGTGTCCTGATCACGGTTTTCCAGTAAGGTAGTGAGTGAGTTTAGCTTTACGCCGCACTCAGCAATACTCCAGCTATATGGCGGCGGTTTGTAAATAATCGAGTCTGGACCAGACAATCCAGTGATCAGCAGCATGAGGATCCTTCTACGAAATTGGGATATAATGACACATGTGTATTCAGCAAGCCTGACCCCCACGATCCTGTTAGTCGCGGTATTCCAAGTTCTTTAACGGCAATAAAGGTATGAATGTGAAATGCTGACGAGGTAGATCAGTTTTTGTTATTAAAACCACCCCATTGTTTTTGTTTTTGTTGACACAGTAAATTATTTGAGTTTGTTTTCTTTTTTTCCAGCCTTATGTCGACGTCGTGTTATCAGGTCTGAACCAGACAAACACAACATTCCACGCTGTCGTGGTACAAACACGACCAAATCACCAACATTGCTCCCCGATACCTAAGGCCACCTCTTACTACAAGCATTGACTGGTGTATTCTAACTTGGAAATCCCACTACTGGAATATCGATACATCTGTAACGCTATGTGTGCCTTTTCTAGTCACAAAGTGTTGAAGACTACACATACGAAGTAGACGTAAGTTCAAATGGCCTATTTGTACTGAGATGACAGAGGTCATAGCCATACACGGCTGAACCTTGCACGCTCGACTTCGACTAAGTGAGAGTGAGTGACGTAAACATGATAAAACATAGCGAACCCTTTACCTTTTGTATTCCAGGTAGGCATCGACAGCTTGAGCCTTAGAGCCATCAAATTTGAGGTGGTACTGTTTGTCACCCATTTTGTAAGGGTCAATACAGCAATCGACCGTAAATAACACTCAATGGATCGCGACAGTATTGTGTTCAGCTTGTTTACATTGACAGCGGAAGTAACCCTTGCGGAATGTGGTCTCATTGAGAGGAGAGTTTCAAGGGAGGCAACTCTCCAGTTTCTTAAGTTTAGACTGGGTTGCTCGCGATAGATGGTAGAGTACCTGTCTACTCTGAGATAATTGTTATCGGATATTTTTCTTATCTTCATGCATCAGAATTATCCCGTGGCAAGAGGAATGTAGTAATATAGTCTATTGTCGAACGATACGATTATGATTTTCTACTTTGGATGAAATTACTGTTCATATCCATTGACTTCGAACATAATAACAATAAATAAGAAACAAACAAGCACCAAACAAACAACAAGAATGACAAGGAGTTTGGGGGTCACTTTGTGCATAAATATTAGGGGACTGGGGGGCATAAATATTAGGGGGAGGGGGGGGGTGTCTTTTACATTGTACATGCTTCTCCATGAAAATCATCATCACCCCCTAGCCATAAATTATGAACGCACCCTAAAAATGCCTATTTTTGTTTTCGAGTTTTTCATCGATGTGTGTGATTGTTTAAAATACCGACTTATTGTGTTACTTCGTTATTTAACGCCGTTCTCAGCAATAAGACGGCTGTCTATAAATATTGAAATCTGTCAGTCACACACATGGTCCATATCTTCATTGACTTTTGGGGCAAGTATGGATATCTGACCCTGAATCCCAACATGTGTGAGCTGAATTAATCCACTAAATGATGTATTTTTTGTTGACATGTGATGGGACTCGTTGCTCCTGCTAGCAACCACTAGTTTGTGTATTGTACAGTTGACTCGATTGATGTGCTGATTTCGGGAGAAAGACCCAAACAACTGACTCACTTACACATCCCAATCCTGCACTAGCCTCTTTGATGCGTCGGGCAGAGTTGTGTCCCGTTTGCGGGCAAGGATCTATAATCATGGGTTCGAATCCTAGATTCCCCGAGATCCCCCTTCTTGGTTTATTAGCACCACGCTCGTGTTTGGGGGTTATTAGGACGAATTGAATAACTTCCTCTGTAAAGTTGATCTGAGCCCTGACCGCCAGCCTTTGTATCGTCCTCATCTTCTGATCAATGGTTTGGGGCTATATGTTCCTGATTTATGATTCTTGGTTTTTAATACACCATACCAGAGACCATATACTGACCATACCAATTTCCATAGGTTTCACCGAGATGGAAACATCTGAAACCAGGAACAGTTAGCGCTTTCCTACCAAATTAAAACGAAATTGGAATTATAATGGAAATTCTGTTAAAAGAAGCGATAAACGAATTATATTAGGACACACTGGGTTTATGGTAGAAAATGTTCTGGTTGCCGCCTCGTCATGAGCGAACAATGATGAGAAAATACCGGAAGTTTAAACTCTATGGCAACAGGGATGTAAACAAACGAAAAACGGATCAATGGATCTTCATAAAACATGACACTAAGTAGTATTGATTCACTAATAGAAATTGAAAATATCTTGTAGAACACGATTGACTCATCAATGGGAGTAAATCGATTTGTTTACACCAACTGCCGTAACTGAAAAGAAAATGGTCGTTGGTTGTTGATGGAGAACAAACAAGCATCACAGATGATACGGTTTCTGACAAGGTGAGTGTTGTTCTTCTCATCCTAAGAGAGCATAACTGTAAATTATGAATCAAACTCTTAGGATATGCTTCTATATGTGGCTCAGACACCGTTATGTATGTCCCGAGAGCTATTGGTGACCAGGTCGCCCGGTCAAAACCAGTCCCGTTCGACTATATCGTTCGGACACTACTACACCATTCTGCTTGAGGTGAGCTGTCACATCGCAGTAATATGTTTTATTTTAAGCTCGAATACAGCTATGGGCTCCGCTGCACAAAGCGATCTTAACGCTAAGATGCTCGGTATTCCTATACCTTAACACAGACTTGCTACAATCGTAACGCTAAAATCGCTTTGTGGAACGGGGCCCTAGAGCGTTCATGTTATGATCAAAGGTAAAGGTGAAGAATACAAATCATATGCATGTCACCACCTGACTGCACACGCACGCACCCACTGGCGTTAAACGCGATTTGGGTGTCAGCATATGGAACGCTGGTGTGTAAAGGTGAGTGCGTGCATGCGTGAGTAAGCGACACTTTAGATGTCACTTTACACAGATGTTATTGCTCAGTTCATGGCTTATTTTCACCAGACGCATTGCGACTCCCGTTAGCGACTCGCCTCTTACGACAAGCATGGGTACTGAAGACCAATTCTAACCTGGATCTTCGACCAGGAAGAGCAGAGGTTGTTATCAGGAGTATCGATCCACGCAGTGGGAGATGCTGCCATGCATCAACCTAGATACTGATCCTGGTCGATGTCGTGGTCCTTTTAGACAAGAGGTATTTGACGTGCTCAGAGGCGGTGGGGTAGCCTAGTGGTTAAAGTGTTCGCTTGGCACGCCGAAGACGTTCGATTCTCCACGTGTGTACAATGTGTGAAGCCCATTTCTGGTGTCCCCTGCGGTGGGGTAGCCTAGTGGTTAAAGCGTTCTCTCGGCACGCCGAAGACGTTCGATTCTCCACGTGTGTACCATCCGTGAAGCCCATTTCTCGTGTCCCCCGCGGTGGGGTAGCCTAGTGGTTAAAGTGTTCGCTCGGCACGCCGAAGACGTTCGATTCTCCACGTGTGTACAATGTTTGACGCCCATTTCTGGTGTCCCCCGCCGTGATATTGCTGGAATATTGCTAAAAGCGGCACAAAATACTCACTCTGACTTGCACAAGGACTGTAATTTATACCCCGGAGAGCGGAAGGTCGCGGGTTCGATCCCCGATCGCGTCATACCAAAAGACGTTAAAAAATGGTACTTTTTGGTCCCTTCCTGGCGCTCGGCATTAATGGGTACAACAACTGGACGGCTCGGAGTCAGTATAATGTGGGGTATTCATGCCTTACTGCGGCATGGTATCTCAGAGGGCTAGCACTATAAAACCAGCTTAAGTCTGGGCTAGTACAAGCAGCCGCACATACACATACATACGCATGCACGTCGTCATATGAGCGAAATATTCTCAAGCACGACGTAAAACCCAATTTCACCTCATCTCACCTCACATAATACCCTTCAATCCGCGTTCTCGCACTCTCTTCAGTATTACTTTCACTATTGCCGAGAGCGTTGCTTAACAACAAACAAAACAAACAAACACGCCACATCTGGCCCGGTTAGATTTTGATAATCTATTTTTCAGTTCCTGAGCTGGCAATGATGACTATCTTCATAAGATTTCATTTGTTTATCTCTGAGCAGTTTTAATCGATATACGTATAAGGTAAACAGGTGCTTCCGCATAGGAGGTTGAGTATGATAGCATCACGGGATAATGTTCATGGACACGGTTTTTCACCTGTTTTTATGGGTTAATAGTTTGCATACGCCTTGAATCGATTATGTCCATCATCATTTATCATCCTAAACTCTGTTCTACAGGAGATTTTTGCTTGTGTGAGATCAAAATGATACCTCCTAAGGATAACGTTTAGACAGAAGATTTTGTACATCATGACCCACAATGCTATGACGTCAAAAATCTGATGACGTCACAATGCTAAGACATCGCTGCACTGCAAGTCTAATGGTAAGCTGGGCTCCGTCTCGGATATCGCAATATAGCTTTGGCGCAAGGTGGCGCGCACAAAGGGAGCCGGGAACCAGCTAAGTTTAATCGCCGTACTGTGTTCAGAGTCAAACGTCTTTCATTGAGAACTAATGAAGAGTGATTTTTGATGATAAATAGAATCTCACCCTCGTGTCTTCTGACATCAAATATATCAATACTCGTTGATAAATGTAAAAATTTGTAACATTATCAACTCGTGGTGATATGTTTGATATCAAAAGACACTCGGGTGAGATTCTGTATATCTGCCACTCGAATATTTACTGACTTTATTATTAATTTCACATAAAGTATAACAAGGCGATGGGTAGCCTAGTGGTTACAGCGCTCGCTCGCCACGCCGACCCAAGTTCGATTCAATACAAGTATTCAATGCGTGAAGCATTTTTTCTTGTGTCCTTAGCCGTGATATTGCTGGAATATTGTTAAAAGCGGCGTAAAACTAAACTCACTCACTCATAAATTATGACTGTTGATAAGTTCAATTTAAACCGGTTTAAATAAATTCATGAATGTGATCTTAAGTCATGTTCAAAAAAAAGGGTGGGGTGGGGTGGGGAACGAACCCCTGGAAACACAGCAAACCCCCACCCCCCACCCCCACCCTCTCTGGATCCGCCACTGTATCTTCTTTGTATGACGTCTCCATCCTCCAGAGACCTCCTTCGGCAGTGTTATTCCCATGGAACATGAGCTACCACCATGTCTATTGAATGTCAATATGGTGACACGTGTCAGTTTCCCCATGCTGTATTGTGTTGCGCCTTCTTGTCGACCGCAGTGTCTGTGTACTACATTACAAATATGCATGGCTGGTGGAGTGAAGCATGTAACTTTTTACATACTCTTCTTTGTTTGCCCTGGTCTGTTGAGAAGCTGAGAGAAGCCATCCCTTCATCACCTTAGCTCTCTATGTGGTTTTGTGATAGGGCTATACATGTATTGCAATGTGATAGGGCAATAGCTGTGATTGTGCGTAAGTACTATGATTTTACGCCGTTTTTAGCAATATTCCAGCAATATCATGACAGGGGGTACCAGAAATCGGCTTCACACACTGTGCCCATGTTGGGAATCGAACCCGGATCTTCAGCGTTTCGAGCACACGCTTTAACCATCAGGCTGCCCCACCGCCCCATGATATGATAGACTGACTGACTGAGTTTGGTTTAACGCCGCTTTTAGCAATATTCCAGCAACATCACGGCGGGGAACACCAGAAATAGGCTTCACACATTGTACCCATGTGGGGATTCGAACCCGGGTCTTCGGCGTGACGAGCCAACGCTTTAACCACTAGGCTTGATATGATAGAGCGATGGCATCATGCGATGAAGTGATGAGATGGAGCGATAGTGCTCTGTGGTCAAATGTGTAGATAGAGCGACGTGATACAATGACTAGATTTACCGATAGTTTGATGTTAAAGGGTGACAGCGCAGAACGACGGTATGATTGATACACGAAACGATACGATTGAACGTTAGGGCCATGAATTAGCCAATGCGACGGGGTGGTAGTTCGGTGTGACAGATCAACATTGTGAAGTGACTGAGTGATCTAGTGCAATGTGTTACAGTGATACGGCGATGGCAAATCGCGATAGGACCTTATCTTGCCTCACACATAAATGTCGTTTTCAGATTGGCTGAGCGCTCTTCTATTATTTTCAATGTATCCCGCTTACAAGCGAGTAACATTTTCTGCGTACCCCGCTGGGAATTCCGAACTCATTTGGAACTTCGTAATAGTAATTCGTTATCTCGAATAACATTGACTCACGTCTTATCTACGGAAAGTGCCGATATTTTGCGAATGCAAATCGATGAAGGGAGATAACTCTAAATTTGGTTTTCTTGTCGTCTGGCACTCCATACTATGATCCGATACCCGTGTTTAAAGTTTAAAATTACCATTGAGGTGTTCGGTATGTTCACTGGTCCCTCGGGGCCCATGGGTTGATGTACCCTCGATGTTTGTGTATGTTCCCATGTAACCCATGTCCCCCTCGAGACCAGTGAACAACTTATATTGTCACCTTGCAATATCACGTTGTACGGTAGGCCATTAAATAACGACCCTTGACGCCCATTGTATGTTTTTCCGCTCTTCTCCGCGCTCTGTATACATTATGCAATGTTCTCATCGAGTTGAAGCCTCGTCTCTTAGGTTGACGCAAAGTTTACTAATGGTTGGCTGGTTTACTAGTGGAACTTACGACTAAATATAAGTGCTTGATCACATAAAAGGATGAGCATGGTTTTTGTTGTTCAGAATTTGAATGGGTGAAGTTTAAAAATGTATTTGAAAGCACATGCTTTTTTGTTTTTCTCCATGTACTGTCACTATTGTGTCGCTAGGTATTGTGACACAATACCATTGTGACATCAGCTGAGGTGTGTCTGGTGTATAACACTAAAGGGTCGTTGCGGGATTGTTTACCGCTAATGTACTGTTTGTGTTTTCACGTCTTATCTCCCACTGAAGCATTACGAGGTAAATATACCGATGGCGTTTAAACGGATGCATCAGTAAACAGTTTGCTTTTAAATAGCTTCCTCGGTACTTCATAGCTGTGTCATAGCCGTCTAGATCTCTTTAGCGTGAATTCAGTTTCGCAAATTTAAAAAAATCAATAAAGTGGCGTGTAAAATCGAAATCTTGAACTTCGTTAAATGTTTTCCACGGACAGTTAATATGACTGAGTTTTACGCCGCTTTTAGCAATATTCCAGCAACATCACGGCGGGGGACACCAGAAATTGGCTTCGACCATTGTACCCATGTGGGGATTCGAACCCGGGTCTTCGGCGTGACGAGCCAACGCTTCAACCACTAGGCTACCTCACAGCCCCAGAGAGTGTACAACTTCTTTCAGTGGCATTTAAAAGATATCATCAAACAAATGATAGCGGTGTTAGCATCTACACCGAAACGTCGCATCTATAGCAATACAACATTGTTCCTCTTTACTTGACGGCGACAATTGCTAGTACAATTCTTATACAGTTAGCAAACAATAATGTATTTACTCTGATTACTATGCATGCCTCAATGACAGTAAAATCATCCATATTTTGAAACGTTTAAATCCGTCTTTGAAATGTTTTCTGTTTTGTAAAAAAATATACCTGTATTATAGCATGGGCAAAATGATCATTACGTTCCAAAATTATCTGCGAATACATTCTGGTACAAGTACCAGTCTCGAGTTGCGAATCTCCAGTTTACGACACCCATCACTCGTGAATACATGGATCCGCTTTGATGTTACTATCTTTTACCAACCAATCAAACCACGGCCTTCTTCCAGCAAGAGCAAATCCAACGAGTCCTCTGACTAATGAGCACTCAGATTACAATACGTCTTGTAAGACATGTGCGTCTACTCCATACTGCTTTAGTATTAGGAAACTATATGGTTTGCATAAAGGTATTGCACAGAGTAGGAGTCATTTGACTCCCGTGATTCAGTTAGACACGCATCATTATTACATGGCATGGCGGTGATATGTATCCATGGGTGATAGGCTGGGTGTGGGTGGGTTGGGGTGGGCGTTGTGTATAGAGCACGTGAAATATTCCTTCTGATATGATTTTTAGAGCATCTGTAAATTTATAATATTTATTAATAACGAGCCCGTTAATTCTATGTGAAAGTGCATATGTCCTTAGTCTCACTAATGGTGGTGATAACTTGAATTTTTCAGTGAGTAAGTTGGTTTTTCCACCGCTTTTAGAATATTCCAGCATCAACAAGGTGGGAAAAACTTCATATGCACACTAAACGCCAAGAGAAACGTTACCCTCCTTCCTTAAGGACGGAGGTACCTATCGTAGCTATCGTTGTGATGCGTGGACGTCCACTTCTTGGTCTGTCTTTGGTGACCCAAATCTCTCTGTAGCGCTGAATAAGTCTTATAACCGTGATACGGTGGCATCCGAGGGCGTTGGCAACAGCATTGTATGTCGACCCCATCTGCGCCATCCCAATGGCTCTTCCTCTCTCTTCAGCTGTTAATCGTGGCATATTTCTCGTACTTGTGTATCAGATCATGCATTCTAGTCTCTCTTATACCCTATAGAATCACGTGAAATGGATGCAAATACTGCTTGAATATTGCTACGTTTTGGCGATTGATATTGCTATGTGTAAACATGAAAAGGAAAAAAATGTTACTTTTCAATACAAAATGTAAACACGATACTTTTATATGTTCCTGAACACTTTTTCACAATATCAAAGACACGTTTTACTTGTTTTCACTAATGTAAATGTTTTAAAAGACTGAAATCATAGGACTTTTACTTTTCAATACAAAATGTAAACACGATACTTTTATATGTTCCTGAACACTTTTTCACAATATCAAAGACACGTTTTACTTGTTTTCACTAATGTAAATGTTTTAAAAGACTGAAATCATAGGAATGAATCTTTTACAATTTTACACACTCTACAAGAGTTGTTTCTTGTTTTAATAGTTGACAAATGGTGACTTTAAATGGCTTATCTTTGTCTAACAACAGAATTGTATTTCAACCTTTCTTGTGAACATCTAAATCACTGTTATTGGTTTATTTCGGCATGGTTGAAAATAGGATAATTTAATTCTGAAAAAGATGCATTTCACCTAAATATGAATGCATTTGAGAATTTGTTTTCGTGATTTGCATAAAGCTGTGTTGTTCAGCGTTCTTTTAAACTGATGCATATCTTTGATAATAATTCATAAAGGTAGGAGGGTGACGTTTCTTTTGGCGTTTAGTGTGTGGTCTTCACATACTGTACCCATGGGGGAACCCGAACCTTGAAGGATTGAAGGCTTAAAGCACATGAATATATCTCACTGGCCCTTGAAATTATCAAGTTTTCATGCTCATATTTTGTGCAAATAACATCTCCTTTATATATTCTACCGGGCAAAAGAAAGTAAGTACTGGAAACTCCGATCTCTGTGCTCCACGAGACATGTGCACATCAGCTTTTGAAAGATCCGCACTTATGTGATGGATGTACAGTCGCTTATGTTACTCGTGTCGAATACATCACCGTCGAATAAGCATGTCTTGTGTGTTTCACTTTCAGCCACTATCAATCATGTGTGTATACTTTCTTTAGTCCGTCAGTTTAGCTGCAGTATTGGTGACTTTGGTGAAAGACACAACAAACAAACATTCTAAAAAAACCTCTTGTGACATTTTACAGGAAATCGATAAAGGCCCAGAGGACCTAGACGTTCCAGAATCCCGTAAAAGATGAGCGAATGTACGTATTGAACATTATATTGATTCCCGGTTATTAAGTCATACGGATCGATTGTACAAACAAACAGTCGTATTGTCTCTTTGTTTGTGGTACATCGCTGTTTATCACAGACGATGATTCCGTCCAATATCTGATGAACATCAGATTCTACTTCAATAATTATATCTTCGTATTAATAAATCAGTTGCATTGCTATATTTTTCATATTAGATTTATTGAAACATTTATAATAGATTGAATAGATCCACTGATTCTGCCGGTTTAGTTGGGAAACATATGTTTATCGTTTCTGTGAAAACCTGATTTTCTGTGGTCCAGTTTTCACCTCTATTTAGTTTTACTCCCCAAATATCATCTGTTTCGGCGTATGAGGTCTTTCCCTGGAGCTGATGTTTTCGTTTTACGGTACATGTTTTTACACATAAAAAGAAAGACTTAAATTGGCTATTTTACATACATAAGTCAAAGTTATGAGTTTGTCTGTCGCCATGGTTCCAATAATCGCGTTCCATTGAACGCAGAAATATTGATGGCATTTTAATTACTTCAGATTAAGAATCAATGCCGACGACGACAGATCTGGCACAAATATCGTTCATCATAAGCCTTATGCTGATTAATACCCACAAAATCAATACGTTAGCCATCGGGAAATGGCCTGTTGGACACACAGAGACTGCTCCTTCACGAACATACGATCCACGCTCTCCACATGATGTCGAACGTTGGTCAAAAGGAAGAGTAACTGGGTGTTCTTTTAAAGTATGCTTTTAGGGTTTTCTGCGTCTGTCGCTTTCGGCTTGTATCAGTGATCCAAAGGAGGATACTTATGTGAATTTCACAGAAAGCAGTTTGGGGCAAATTGATTAGACTTCAAGTGATCTTTTGACTGTACGGGGTGCTACAAATTACATAGCCAGAAAAAGGTAACTATTTACTCGTTTAACCGCTTATCCCGCCACGTCCATGCTGAATTGTGTCCACGTCTTCATTTGCTTTTCGATCTTTTGATCCCGTCATTAAATGCATTCAATGATATATTAACGAAGTTAAATGGGATACTAACAAACTTTAGAGTGAGTGAGTGAGATGAGGTTTGCGCCGTTTTGAATATCAAGGGAATATTGCAGTCTCAGCTTAAAAATGGCGGAGAATACGTGTTGATTTCTTTTGTGATTCCACTACCAGGATCGAGGTTCTCACAAAGTAATAATAATAATGATAATAATACAATTGTTTATGCATCACTCCACACTCAACAACATTCCGGTTATATATGAAGGCAGTCTGAAAATAATCAGCTCATGTCTCGACAATCCAATGATTGAACACCGATCTATGCAATAGGGATAGGTGGCACGCATCACGTCGCCGAACCTCACTGCCGATCCCGTCTCTTAAGACAAGTATTGGTTGCTGAAGGCCAATTGCAACCGATCTTCACATTGCCATAAATAAAACGGAGCTAGGATTCGAACCAGGATGATTCGAAGCCTACGTCACATAATTGCTGCCCTGTTACAATCACGATGGCACGAAATGCATACTTAATATGCCTTCCATCATATAGAGTGCTTATTGATCTTTTTAGCAAACTTGCTCGAGCTATTGGACGTGAGTGTTGAGGCAAATTTGTGCTTTGTGAGGCAATTCATGGATCAAGTAGTCTGTGTGTTGTAGCAGCGATAGCTCGAAGCCATCTTCTCTGTTCACAATAGCGCCATCAGTGCGTCTCGCCGGTGAGGGTTGGATAATTGTTGCGGTTGAAAACACAGAACACTCAAAACAGTGCATGCACACATGTGTTGATGTACATACACATTACCCAGGATTGCATACAGATCAATAATCATTCCTTCAGACGTCTAGGATCTTTTTTGACGTCATAACTGTCTAAATTCCTCAATGTCCAAAAATATGTCGCAAAAAAGGAAATTTGAGTCGCTGTTAATAATGAACAAATAGGTTTACTGGCCTAGATTAGATACGTGTATATGTTACATATCTTAAAAACATGGATGTAAAGGGCGTTATAATTTTGCAGGTGTGATGTAAGCCTTGTGCACAGACACAGCATGAAAGGATTACCTCTATGATCTGTTGACTATATTTGACTGCGCTGACTGTGTAATTAGTGTCATGACTGAATAACATAATCTGTGTACGGAAAAGGGTAATATAACTAAAAAATAAAGTGATACAAAGAAAGTATATTCTAGTACTCAAACGCGTGTTTTTCAACGACTGTGTAAGAGCAGCTAACACCGTATAACTTCTGGGTTATATTGGGTTCTAACCATTACGTCAGTGTGGAGAATCGAGCCCGGGAAATAGCTGAGAGTGCTTTAACCACTGTCCTTCTCCACTACCATTAGATAAGACGACCCTACTTGGATTCACGGTCGGAGCTCATTCCCAGTAGAGTTTGCTAGAGACTTAAGGATCAGAAAGTAACTCTCGGTGGCTTCCTTGCAACCCCGGGGCGGTGGGGTAGCCTAGTGGTTAAAGCGTTGGCTCGTCACGCCGAAGACCCGGGTTCGAATCCTCACATGGGTACAATGTGTGAAGCCCATTTCTGGTGTCCCCCGCCGTGATGTTGCTGAAATATTGCTAAAAGCGGCGTAAAACCAAACTCAGTCAGTCAGTCAGTCCTTGCAACCCCGAAGGCATGGGATGATGCTCATGATATCAATCACTGGAGTGTCTAGTCCAGAAACAGTTTTACTCTGTCAATCGCGAACAGCTGCAATGTTTATGAGCGAGGGGCTACCAGCTGACATGCTAGGTTTCTTGTAGCCAAACAATGTATTACAACTTCCCTGGCAGAATTAGTTTTCAAATATTCTGTGTACAAGTGCACATGATTGAAAATACCAGTTGGCGTAAAAGCTTTTTCCTAATGAAACACGATCTTCTAACAATGTACAGTGTTTCAGGAAGGTTATACCGTTACTCCGTGACCAACTGAATAGACGTTGATAGCCAAGATTTGCGCACATCCGTGAATTATTGACAATTACATTTACCATTCTTTATGTCACACATTTATAGGTTCGAGAACAGCATTGAAAGCTTTTTCATGCCGATCCAAGCTTTGTAGAAACCGTTAATCCACTGGTGCTTAAAAGCGAATATACGATAGGCTGGCAAGCTACTGCAAGAAGAATCGAAGCCGGCTTGCAATATTTATGGGTTAAGGAAATTGAACACTCCAAATTGATTACATCGCAGGTGCATAGGTAGACTGGTGTCCTGTTGTCATGTATATTTCATCAGTGAGGGAGATCCCTTGGTAAGGTGTCACATGCTACAGTTTGGATTGAAAAGCGCAGGGGACACAGTCTTTTCCAATTCTCTGTTCCGAGGCGTGTCAGAGAGGTAAGAACAGAATAGCTGAAGTTTTCTGTAGTTGTTTTATTCCATACAAAATGTACCAATTCTTTATCGTTCAACTTCTTTATGAATGTTTTTATTGTTTCTGTGAACAATAGGTAAGGTATACTCTTTGCGTTTGCTGTTGTATTGTGTGTTCTTTTGTACATGTTTCTCTGTCGTTGTTTGTTGTTTTACACCGCGCTCTCGACCAAACAATCCAGTGATCAACAACATGTCGTTGTTAGGTATATTATTGTAAATGTAGCTGCAGTTGGTATATATGGTACTTACTGGTGCAATGCGTGACCTCGAATGTATATTACAAAGCAAAAGAAAGTATACACTTGAAAACTGGATTTGAAGAAAAATTCATATTATCAACACTTTATTAAGCTTAAAAAGAGTCATTGCTAGATCCAAATCACAGCTATGATATCGGGGTCAAATACACCATCCGCGAAAAATACCACTCTTGTTTGTATCATTTTTCCAACATGAAACGTGGGGGTTCACTTTCTTTTGATTGTCAGCTTACAGACGAAACCCGTCATGTAACTAGAATGTTATTGAGAGCGGCGTAAAACTAAACGCACTGACTACAGAAGACACTGAGGAACTCCGACAGTTTCGCTGTTATTTGGATAGAAATATTTTTAAATTGACATGGATTATACAAATTTAACAGGAAGAAAAGATGGTTACTATAGGATTTGAGGATCATTCCGCTGCTTTCTTCCAGCAGGAATTAGGTGGTTGCACATGCAGGTTCGAATCATTTATCCGTATATTTATGATTATTCTGTCATACTGTAAACGCCTACAGCCTGTTTCCCGGTGCTCACAACTGTTGTAAACTTCCACATTTAGTAAATCTCATGGATGTTTATGGTGGCTGATTCGGGCCATCGCCTACCGGAATATCTCAGTACATTGGTACCCACCAACTTGTGCGCTCGAATGGGTCGCCTTGTCCGGTTTGGTGCGTGTCATCGTACGGCGACCCCCTAGGTTGTATCAATCACTGCATTGTCTGGTCCAGATTCGATTACATGTATTTACAAGCCGGCGTTAAGTTGTTGGATGTTTTTGCTGAATGCGTCCTTGAAAAAACAGACTAAAGAAAATAAAATACTAAGCAATAAATAACAAATAAACATGTTTTCGGGAGGTCAGGATCTATAGCTAAGTTGATTGGGTGACATCGCACTTGTCAGAGCTGTTAGTTGCTTAGATTACCGCAACTGGTTTTCCTTTACTCCAACTCGATCATAGGTCACGGTGACATGGCTGGAACAGTGCTGATTTCAGCGTTTAACTGCACACTCACTCCCTAAACACCACACAGGCATATCATATTACGGTTTATATAACAGGGGTCGGGACTTGCGTCACTGCCGCTGAACACGTTGTTGGTCGCTCCTGTTTAATAATGCTATAATAGAATAATGAAATGAATAATGAATTCATTGATTTATGATTGAAACGTTGTTCTATCATCGAATTATGTTCCCAAGTGGGAACAGAGAATATTTTCATAACGTGATTATTTCGTGTTCCAAATATACTTCACATATTTAATCAATACAATGATAAAGAGGTCCGAAAGTATTGATGCAATTAGTATTTTCCACAACTGTTCATATTATGATTACTCGAGATTCGTTAATTCTCATTGATATTACATTATTTAACAATTCCCCAAAAACACACTATCAAAGGTCGCTATTGTCGTAACTGGCGTATGGGTGTTAGTAAACCCTACCCCAGTTACCTATTGATTATGGTCGTTCCACATTGTCAGGGGAGATGTAAGCTCCAGCTCTGCACTCGCTTGGTCCATGGGGAATGCTCAGTCAAGGAGTGAGGGGCCGGGCGACCGTGACTCCTAACTAACTACATCACATTCATGTACTGGCACACATACATTCAAGGATAAACGCAACACCAAGTTCTATACTCACATAGGTTTACTGTCTCTCAGTCGATATCTCTCAAAAGTACAACTCCAACACAAGACAGAGCAGGCTCGTATCCTACGGGGAACTTAGTAAAGTGGATTGGCTTCCGAAATGTTGAGCTAGTACTCTCCGCACTCTCTCTGCTCTTAGCGCCCAAACATGTCTTTTTAAATGAGACGAGCCTGACCTTATCTTGATCACATATTTCAACGTATTGCTTTGATTCGTTAATATCTGCATCTGTCCTTTCACTCATGTGTATTATAATTAGAAGAGTCTCGGACAGCACCGTTCAGTGACTCCCCTTTTCAGTGATTTGTTACTTCCGTCTCCGCCCTTTAACTCATGTATTTCGTAACTTTCCTCTGACGACCTTGTCGTGTCCTTGCCTCACGAAAGTTTGAGCCAAGTTCATATCTCAATGTTTATCTTTCTCCTATTCCCGACTTTCTGTTTCCATTATGTGTTTAACCGTTCTTAGTCATGAGCCAAAGGTTATCAGTTCTGAGTCATACTGGTAACGGAAATACGGAATCTGCTGTAATTCTCATACTGCTTTAGGGATGCATTTTCACCTTATAACACTATCGAGCGTTCAACTCAGACACTGCTCACATTACGGTCTTATGGCCAAGGACACCGGGGTTTTTCTACATGTATGTCCTGAAGAACAATGTAGTAATTATGGAACATGGTATCTGTTCTTGAAGTGAAAAATTTGCTTCATACGATCTTTCTCCAGAGGAATTATTTCCGAGATACATGTTCCCATTGTACATTAACACTGGCAATGTTTGTTCCGAATGTAACTTATTACATTGTGAAAGTCACGGGACATAAGATTTTACATCCTCTAGCATTCGTTCTTCACTCAGGGTTCGATTCTCCACATGGGTACAATGTGTGAAGCCCATTCTGATGTCCCCCCGATGTGAAATTGCTTGAATACTGGTAAAAGCGGCGTAAAACTAAACTCACTCACTTCTCTCGTATTCGCTCATTGGCTTCCTCATTTGAACATAGATTTGGGTCAACGATACGTTAGGTTTGTGTTTGTAACTAAAGATGTGTTTGATAAAGAGAAGATAGTATTTACTTGTGTAACCTAACAACTGCCTTACGATACTGTGGTCGTGTCTAGTTTTAATTTGGCCATGAGGGTATGAACATTCTATTATCATTGGCACAAAAGCCCAAACTATGCTGGCAGGTAGAGGCGACCACATGGTTCAGTGGTCATTCTGGGTGACTCTGTTGATGTACTCCGACGTCGTGGGTCGTTGTTCACAATATCAATCACTGGAGTATCTGGCCCAAACTTGATTGTTTACAGACTGTCGTAATAAAGTGTGGCTTTACACAACAAATATAAGATTCAAAGATTCGGTTACGTTGTGTAGTGTCTGCCGGGATGAAGGTAAGTCGATGGTTCAGTCCTATTACTCTAACCCGTGACGATCCGGGTTAAATTGGTCTGCAGTAACCCATGGTTGTCGTAAGAGGCGACTAACGGGATCGGGAGGGCAGGTACGCTGACGTGGTTGACACATGCCATCGTATCCCAATTGCACAGAACGATGCTCATGTTGTTGATCACTTGATTGTCTGTTCCAGACGCGATTATTTACAGACCGCCGCCGGAATATTGCTGAGTGCGCGTTACTACAACAAACCAAACCTGCTCTGACTGGACTTGTTGTTACCCTGGCATTTGGCATTTGTGGAGATAAAGAAATGATCATAATCGATATCCACACAAACACACATACACATCTCCATATAAGTGAGTTATTCTTCAACGTCATTCCACCCTACCTGAAGTCAATATGTCTTTTGTTTCCAGTTACGGGAAGAGACACGAACAGGGACACCTCGCGTAGACAGGATAGAGGTGGGTATTGAGCTATTTTATTGCGCTTACATGTCTTAATATTCTTGCAACATTTAATTGCCGCAAATCCGTTTTTCTGTTGTTTAACGCCGCACTATGTCGGTTATATTGCGGCGGTCTGTAAAATTATCGAGTCTGAACCAGATAATCCAGACATTTGTTTCGAGCATCGATCTACGCTACTGCGATATGATGACATGCATCAATCATGCCAGTGGGCCACCCGTTCCCGTCAGTAGCTTCTGACAACAAGATGGGTTGTGACTTCATATTAAACTGTACGTTTGGGCGCTGAACGGACACAGTCTGCCATTTTGGGGTAATTGCATGGTTTGTTGTGGCCTCGGTTGAGTGTTGCGTACATGTTCGCTGTCATTTGGTAGACATGTATATATATATTTTGAATGTTGTTCAGGTAATGCTCGAAACGCCCGTCCTTCTAAAGCTGAGAAGAGAAACATGAACAACGAGGAACGTGATTCCAATGTAAAGGACGAACGTTACACGTCAGGCCAAAGAGGGTCAAACTCCCCACGATACGGATCCAGTAAGGAGCCTACGAAACAGGGGAGGCAATCCGAAAAGTATGATAACAACAAACCACGCGTAAATGACGAAAATGACGATTGGTCAGACAGGGACCCGTCACCTACGAGTAATGAGGTAAATATATAAGGTTAATACAAAGTAGCAAGTGAGTGAGTGAGTAAGTATGTACAGTAAACGCCAAAAAGAAACGTTACCCTCCTACATTAACGAATTACTTAAAACTATCAAAGATATGTTAGAAGGTATTAGTTTACAAGAAAGCTGAACAACACAGCTTTATGCAAATCACGAAAAATATTTCTCAAATGCATTCATATTTAAGTGAAATGCATCTTTTCAGAAGAGTTAAATTGTCATATTTCCATGACGAAATAAACCAATAACAGTGATTTAGATGTCCTAAAGAAAGGTTGAAAAAAATTCTTGTTTGAGACACAGATAAACCATTTAAAGACACTATTTTTCAACTATTAAAACAAGAAACAACTGTTGCTGAGTGTGTAAAATTGTAAGATAATCATTCCTATGATTTCAGTCTTTTAAAACATTTTCTGCTGATTTGCATTAGTGAAAACAAGTAAAACGTGTCTGTGATATTGTGAAAAAATGTTTGGGAACATCTTAAATTATCTTTGTTAACATTTTTGCTTACAACGTAACATTTTTCCATTTTATGTTTACACACAGCAATATCAATCGCCAAAACGCAGCAATATTCAAGCAGTATTTGCATCCATTTCACATGTAGAATGATTCTGTAGGGTATAAAGAGAGCCTAGCATGCATGATATGATGCACAAGTACGAGAAATATGCCACGATTAACAGCTGAAGAGAGAGAAAGGGCCATTGTAATGGTGCAGATGGGGCCGACATACAATGCCGTTGCCAGAGCTCTCGGATGCCATCGTATCACGGGTATAAAACTTATTCAGGGCTTCAGACAGACTGGGGTCCCCGTAAACAGACCAAGAAGTGGACGTCCACGCATCACAACGCAAGCTAAAGATAGGTACCCCCGTCATTAAGGAAAACGTTTCTTTTGGCGTTTAGTGTATATGTATATAATGTAGAGACAAAGCAAGGGGTTGAGTGAGGTTTAATGCCTCTTTGCACAGTGTTCCATTGATATCACAGCGTTTTAGTTTAAAACGGGAAAACCTGAAGGGTACGAGAGGTTGCGAAAAGCTGGACGTCAATTGGCTGGGATAACTGTTCCTCAATATTCAACGTCTAGTGATACATATGCAGCTACTCAAATACTTACTTAACCTAGTTTTTATCGCGGCTTTGTACACGTTTTAGTAGTATGATATCAGTTTAACATATATGTGGCAGACTCATATATATATATATGTACATAGGTTTTAGTTGGGAAGATTATATTAAGTATCAAGGTGGATGGCATTGTTTCCACTTAATGACTCACTCTATTAAACAATAAGAACACCTGTAAGAATCTTAGTTATGTTTTATACTTTATTTTACTCTTGGTCCATAGCTCTGCATAGTAAGCCTTGTAACTCTCAGTCTAACCTCCACTAATTGTCACACTGCATGCTTTCAACACTCTTTGCTCCAGCTCTCAGTCATTTCTATTGTTTTACTGATAGGCCAAGCCGGCCACAGCTTAACTACAATGTTCAGATTTTAAAGTCAGATCCCGTCTTGTACTGTGGAAGGAGAGATATAGCCAGAGTCTTGGGAATTTTATGACGATTTAAGATCTGTGAGTGTGATCATTCAGAAGAATATCCTCTATTATGATCAGCTTGGGTACAACCAGCCTGGCTGTTTAATAAATAGACCAGAATAAACGTATTGGCCTCACAACCCACAGCCGTTTGTATTCTTAACGGACGCAAACAAGCCGCTGTTATATATATGTGACAAAGAAACAAAATAATGCAGATATCTAAAGTTTACCACTGTGAAGAAAACCCGCTGCCTCGGGTATGATATTGACAAAACAAGAATGATTATTAAGGCCGCTATTGAAACTCATTATCGTAGGATCCTGTCACGAGTAAGGTACATAACTGGGCACAACTGATAAGTAGAATTGACCTCGTCTGAAAACAACATGTCATGATTACAAAGTAAACTGTTCAGTTTATAATGTTCGTGACGGAATGTGCCTTAGATCAATAAAACCGATGAACCTGTTGTTAGGCGAGGCAGCTGTTTGTGATTTAACGTCACTTATATTGATCTTATAATAATCGGATACAACAATTGATTATACATGTCATTCCATCCCTGATAATCACATCGATAATGTCGTCAAATATGAGTTCTATATTTAAGACATCATTTCTTCGTAGTGAAGTGAGAAGGCGATTGGGTTCTTTTTTAAAACCGCGGTACATTTTATATCAACTCTTGCTATGCGAATATTTTTGTTGTTGTTTAAGTTTCCAGTTATTGTTATTCATTCAGTCTTTGTTGTGAGATTATTTTGTTCTCCATTTCGTCGCTTGGGGAAGGGTAATGAAAATATGACCAAGCGCATTGGGAAGGTTATCCAAACATTTGACACGCTCTAGGAGAGGTAATCATCTTCAGTACATCAGTGCATCATAAACCAGCCTTGTAATACAAGCCCGGTTCTTGTTGTGAGACTAAATTCAAAACCTGTGAGAAACGCGTATTGCATGAAGTATACACACAGTGTGTGAACAGGACCAATTAAAGTGTGATTAATTACCGATAAAATTAAACATAGATGAAAAGTCTGATAATATTTTAATTCGATTATGTTTACTCAACCCACAAAACTGTTTGAAAGGTTGACTTATTTCCTGCTTTGGTATCGATGTCGGGATTAAATAACATTCCCATTATTATATCAATATATTACATACTGAGTGAATGAAATGTTCGTAATACTCTGGTGGCTGTCGAGCAGAGGATGTGCTCTGTATGTATTTCCAAATATTTTGATATATATATTCATTGACGAGTTTGATAATTTTGAGCTGTTGTATGTTTCATATTAGAATGTTAGTAATAAGTGTAATATCAATATTTTTGTGATGCTTCATTTGAATGTTAGTCTCTGTTAAGGATCGGTATCAGCATGATGTCCAGTACAAATAACAATTTCAGTTTCAATAATGTTTATGGAAGTTCACTGTCAATACAAATAACAGATTTATGCCCGGAGTGGCCCTTCCAACAGTGGGCCCTGAGTTTTCACGCCTTGTTAACGACCCTTCCCAGCGTGGCCCCTGAACACTTAAGTGTTCCCACACTGGCCTCTCTTAACCCAATCAACTTAATTACCAACAGTGTTGGACTATTATTTTTAGAGGGACCACTTCCAAAGACAACTATTTTGGATGCTTGATTGGGATTTTAGAAGATGCTATTTGATGAACAGAGAGATTTTTCTGGGTAAACAGAACCTGATGATGGGGCCAGAACAAGCCCTGAAACGTTGTACTCAAGAATAAGAAGAAAATGTAACCCAGAAAAATCTCTAAGTTGTTCCACACTTGCCTCCGCGATCACTCCTTCCTAACGAGTTGTCCCGGAGTGGACCCTGAATTTGGTTATTGCGTAACAGACAGGGGGACCACTCTGGGAATAGGTGAACTCACAGTAGGGTATTCCAATTATTCTATTTAAAAGGTCCGCTACAGTCGATATTTATAACTTAAAACAGTGATCATGCTATCATATTATCATTCAGTTTTCACCCAAAGGTCAGTTGTAAATACCGGAAGGAGATAATATCCTCAAAGCTTTGTCAGGATCGCTGTGGAATTCTCAAGAGACCATTGATTACAAGATTTCTCCAAAATATTGATGCGAGACATCACAGATTTACATTACATTTCATTTCCGCCCACTTTATTGATGACATGTAAAAACTGAAAGTAAATACAATCTGCGTGATGAATTCCCAAAAGCACTCCCCATCTCCCAAACAAAAAAAAGTACAGTAAAAAATGAACCACTAAGTAGCTACAAAAATCAAGACGGAACAAACGATAAAAAAGAAGATAGGGGCTGGCTGTTTTGAAGCAACATATTAACATATACACGTGTCTCAAACACTCATTCTATCTAAACACCCGTTCGTGTCCCAAGTGTTTCATCAAAATGAAAGTTAATAACGTGAGCCGTTCTTGCAGAGAGATGCTAAACGGGCAAAGGACAAGAGTAGGAACAATCGAGGACGGTGGAAGGAAGCTGGTGATGACCAACTGCGGAAGGACAGAAGGAAGGCTCGCCAAGACCGGATGGTCAAGGTCATGGAGCTGTTTGAGGACAGCCTCATCATAGACAAAGTGTGAGTCTGGTTTTCGCATTTGGTTTTATTCCCCACACCACGCGGTTTGATATACGAGTGTGCGAGTATGGTGTTACGCCGCTTTTACAGCACACTACAGCATTATCAGCGCGGACACTAGCATTGGTGTTCAGTAATGTACCCATGTAGGGATTCGAAATTGCCTTTCGACTTTAGGAGCGATCAACTTAACCGCTAGGCTATCCCACGGAGCCTTGTTTATATAAATACGAACGTTGAATACTATATACGCCTTTTTGTGTACGTTCATAGGGCTTTTTGTTTCTGGTTCAATCTGACGACTCTTTGACTGCAAAATGCCTCCTTACAAAACCAATATTTAGAGCTGGTTTTCGTGGTCATCGGGACAAATTAGTGATTCAGACACGGTTCGATGTTCCACATTGGTATTGTGCTTGAAACCCGTTTCTGATGTTCTTCGATGCATGTCCATGGTTATACTGATGCTGAAGTCTGCGTAACCCAAAACCCACCCCTTCTGTTATATCATGTCTCACGTCGTTATCGACATGTTCATCAGTACACAACGAGGGGTACACAGTGAGGAGGGTTTATAGTCGTATTAGCAAACTCCAGGAATACCATGGCTTGGGAACATCAGATACAGGTTTGGCATTGCCGATAACGTTCACCATCCAGATCTTGGAGACATTTAACTTCCATTGGACTCGAAATTGTGCTCCCAGATTATTGTAGTGTCACTACAGAACCGCGAATAACGTCAATGTCTTGAATATAATATTCCTTTGTTTTGCAGGGCGCTGAAGGACAGACAAAGTCATATTGACAGTGTGGTAGAACGTTTGGAGGAACTGAAGAGAGCCTATGCACAGAAGCTGAAGGAGGAGGTAACAGCCCATTGGGCCAGGGTCACAGAAGAAGGCAGAGCTAGCAGGGCGGGCAGAGAGAGCAGAGAAGAGTCGGCCAAAGAAAGACAGGCCAAAGAAAGACCGGCCAAAGAAAGACAGGCCAGAGTCTCCCAGAATGACCCAGCAGACAACAAGCGTGAACAAAGGGACCACAGAACTACTGATCCTCCCCGGACACGGCCGAGAGCAGCCAACAGTGGTCAGATGTTTAAGAGAGACAAGAGTCGGATCATGAGCGGGGAGATGACCCAGAGAGGCAAAAGGGAGGCTTCCCCAGAAGACTACAGGGAAAAGGATGATGCGAGGGACAGCCCCAAACATAAGCCACACCCTCGTGCTGTGAATAGTGGTGATCATCACACCAGAGGCAAAAATCGGGTTGACAGTGGTGATGCGGCTTATAGATCCTAGTAGCGTGAGCATATCCTGTTTATTTTGACACTATGTTGTGCTGAGCAGGAATACTGGGTTTGGCAATCGACGGTCAACAGTGAACAAGTCAACAGTCATGTTAGGTTCATGATTTCCATCAGGTTGTGTTGAAGGGTGTGATGAGTCACACTGCCATTGGTCGAGGTGGAACAGGAATGGCTTCATCGGGAAACTGTCATAACTGACTGACTGACTGACTGAGTTTGGTTTTACGCCGCTTTTAGCAATATTCCCGCAACATCACGGCGGGGGACACCAGAAATGGGCTTCACACATTGTACCCATGTGGGGATTCGAACCCGGGCCTTCGGCGTGACGAGCCAACGCTTTAACCATTAGGCTACCCCACCAGTAACAGTAACAGGAACACATGAGCCTTGTTCGCAGGGGTATTTTGTATCAAGAAGAGATTTGCGTAGTGTCAGAGCGGGGAAGACACTATCCGGACATAATACACTCTACTTAGAATTTGTATACTTTAGTAATGCGCATTTTCTAACATTTAGCTAACACTAACTATTTTACATCTAAAGCTTTTTAGTTTGTGCATTGCGCCTAACACGATGACATGTTGATTTTAAGTAAATATAATAAAGATTTACATACTATATTTGTTATTGTGTAGGTGTGCCTTTGGTTTGTCTCAAACTCAAAACGGCTTGACTATCGGCGATGATTTTAATGTTAGGCTTTCGTTTTCCAGTATATATTCATGCAAATAGCTTATTTAGTTCTGTAATATGTTTTTGCAGAAACTGGCCACAGCGTAGAGAGTGTCTGGACAAATGGGTTTCCAGAATTTAAATTGTGATCTGTCATTAGGCTATATTGCCATTTACTACTACTACTACTACTACTACTACTACTACTACTACTACACATCTTTGTGGGAAGGTAGCACACTGTCGCCATAATATTGTACATTATAGTCAAATAAAGTACATTGTGGATCTGCGACCTCTGTTTTGGACACAACGAAAATTGAAATCCCTTTTACGAGGATCGTTATTGAAAGGCTACTATTGTAACCCGCTTTCAACGCTTTCAGTGATAATAATTTGTTGAAAACATATTCTAATGTTATTTATTGCCAGCTGTTCACTTTTTATCTTAAAATATATATTTCTAAAAACGGTTTCAGAATCGCAAGTGGGGTTTTCCTCCCAACATAGACAATGAAAATAACATTATATTTGAGCTGTAATTATGAGTCCTGAAATAATCTAGTGCTCAAAAAAAAGTATGCAGTATGTTTGACCGAACTTGAAAAGAAAGGAAAAGCATATATAAATAAACATCTGTTCAATTTCAATAGAGTATTCACTCCTACACATTTTCATTTCATAGGAAGTAGAAAGTACCCTTTAGACTGACACCGAAAGACACCCGGTATCATCGTCTGAATTTTCAGTCAAACCATCAAGGAGGTTTTTTTCTGCAAAATGTCAAATGTTGAATCAATAGTGAGTGACCACTTTTGGCTTCAAAACACGCCAAAACACGTAAGACGACGAATGACGTTATACGTGATGCCATTCATGTAGGAGACATTGTTCCAGTTCTTAAGCGTTGACAGGTGGCAGATTTGCGGATCCAGGTAGTCCCATACGTGTTCCAGCTGATTCATGTCGGGAGAACATGCTGGCCACGGCAAAACGACGATGTTAGCGTTATGTAGAAAGTCGTTTGTCAGTCTTGCTGTATGAGGGCTTGCATTATCGTGTTGGTAGACAATGCCACGTGGTTGTTGCTGGATAAATGGCAACACAACCTACTGGTCGCAAAACGTCGTTCCTGTATTTTCGAGCATTCAGGTTGCCATGAATAATCACAAGTCTCATTTTGAGACCCCACACCATCACGCTACCGGCTCCAAACGATCGGACTTGCTGACCGTCTGTAACCACGAGCCTGGATGTCTTTACTGTAAGGCAAAACCTACTCTCTCGTAGGTGAACATCACACGTCGCCAATCACGCATCTGCCAACGTCGAACTCGCCTGGCCCATGTCAATCGACGACGTCGGTTATTAAGATGAACTCCGCGATAGGGTCGACATGCTCGAATACCATGTTCTCTCAGTCGCTGGTTCACTGTATGTCGACTGATACGGTGTCCTAGTGCCGCCGCTGCCGTTGACGTCGCCGTCTCAAAACGATTTATATTAAGATGAATTGTCCGGATGTGGCTATCATCCCCGGTCGACCAGTCCTAGGTCTGTCTGATGTAATGCCTGTTTGTCTTCGTCGTTGCATCAGTCTGATGACAGTTGCTCGGGTGCAGCCGAAGGTTCTGGCAACGACGGTGTGGTTAGCTCCTTGTCGGGCCATTCCGACAACTCCCTCTCTCTCTTTCGATATGCCTCAAACGTGTCATATTTTGTGTGTGCTTTTTTACTACTGTGTCGCGTAGGCTGTTTCATAACGTCACTATGCACGTGCATTTCGTGTTACATCAGGAAACGTCGTTTTGGATTTTTTGCGACGTTTAGGCGATTTGTTAACTTGTTTCACCGTTTGTTCCCGGAAAAGATGGGTCTACGTGTTTGACATGGCTCAGTATGGCTTTATGACTTCATTTTTATTTTTGTGAATTTGTATGTAATATTTTTTGCGGTGTAGAGTTTCTTATAAGCACTAGTTTATATCCCAAACTGAAGAATTCGTGGAGAGTCCTATCATGATGTATTGTACGCGATGTCTACCAGTTGTCTGAACTTGCATGTAACCTTACTACCACACCCCTGGTTATGTTATAATACTAAAGCAAAGTTTTTATTTTCATATGGGTAAAAGTCACCTCCCATGATTAAAATTGAGCAAAGAGTTTGTAAAATAGCAATGAACAAGAAACAAACGCGCTCGTATTCCGACAATTGCATGTTTGTGATAAGGTTATCTTTAACCCAGTTTTCCAGTATTCCCCTTTATGATGAATACGTCTAAAAAGATATGAATGACCCCACTAACGTCAGACCAAAATATCCCCAGTGAAGTGAAATGTCAGCACGATATTTAAGTGTAAAATTGATCAGTTATAGAGAACTATATTGTTTTGAAACTGGTAGCTATTTATATACTCCCCATCAAAAGTTTAGACTCACTAGTGTAAATGTAGCCATTTACTTAAGTCAACTGTTCTAAAATACATTTTGCAAAACTTTCCATACTCTTTAAAGGTACTGTTTACACATGAACTGATGTATTGTAAAACACATTTGTAACGTTGAAAAGATTATTGTCATCAGCTCAATAAATGTTGAAACTCAGTGAAAATTGACGAATTCGTAACAAAACTTTACACCAAAACGCAGCTGTCCACATGCATGATATTTGCACATGCTTTACAGCAATTTGATGCATGATCCTCGTGCAATTCATCTGCATAAGGTGTTCAGTTGGGTCTCCCAAGTTAGTGGAGAAATTCCTCTTCGATGTAACCATACATATATACATAACATATAGTGAGTGCTTAAAGTGAGTCTAAACTTTTGATGGGTAGTATATATTTAATGACATAGCCCGAGAATATCATAAAAGCGCACGTATAATATCCGAAGCAAGCCGGAGAAAACTCTCATTTGGATCAATGAAAGTCGTCATGTGAACAAACGCACGTGTGTTGATCTGAATCCGTCACCGCTCATGTCACCATTCGCCCCTTTCCGCAACCTCTGAGAAGACTCGCCCCCCTCTCCATGAGTGTTATGTGCAAAAAGACGACAAACCAATCAGGAGCGTAAGGATTGAGGTAGTTTGATAAAAATAATATTAAGTACTTAAGTCGGTTATGGCATTAAAAATTCATAAAAAGAAGTATCGTCATTTGACATTACAGAAAGCACATCTAAGAGAATTGTGTTGCCTAATTCGAAGTTTTTGATAATGAAAGATTGTCCGCCCATACGGAATGTCAACACTGTTTGACAATGAACAGTACACACGAGGAGTGAATTCAATATTGTAAATAGTATATCACCCGTCATTCCTCGAAGTTTATTGTCCATATTACAAATTTAAACGTAATATTCCGAAGCTAAAAGTATTGTCACATGCACCCTTTAAATGAGAAGCCAAGTCTCATTTTAGCATTTACCGACTTGTGTGAAATAGCACCCAGTTCTGTGAATTTCACCAGAGCACAATCAAACGACACGGTGATCTCAAATGGTCAAATAGTTCAACTGAAACTCATCTGTTTCTACGAACATAAAACAGTATATTCCGAAATTAATCAAAAAATCATTTTGTTTTTATTTAGTAATTCAAAGCAGTTACTAAAGGACATGTGATAAGTTTACTTTAAACCGCCCAACTGCCAGTTCCACTGTCGTCATTGCCCAAATGTCACCTCCAACTAAAGACATAATATGATTCCACAACAATTGAAGTTTATTCAGCTAACACGTTTATGTGAACAAATATATTCAAACAACAGTCGGTGCCAAATATATACATTGAGAGGTTCGCGATCCCGCCCTTGGTGTGACAATTGTTAATGCAACATGAAGTTATGAAACAAACTGCCACAACCACTTCCAAAGTGTATAAACATTAAGCAAACGGAAGAAGAATTTACACCACTCACCATGTCAACCATAGCCATAGTAGCCATGACAACCCCAGCCATGCTCGCCATGTAAGACTCAGATATGCAATATCACACTGAACATTTTAGGCACAGTTTTTAGGCCAGTTTCTAAAAGACAAATTCAAGCCACCATCATTAAATTTTCGGCTCTCATGGGTGATTTCGAACCATGTCCCGTTACACAAATGGCAAGTTCAAACACTGCGTGTTTTTGCATGGTTCAGCATGGGCCGTGCAGTTCTCTCAACGTGCCTGATGTCAAGATGTTGCAGTCATCCAAGTCAATGACCAGCGTAAGTGCCATCGTACGTAGAACATCCTGAAATAGATGTTACCATTAGATATTCTTTACACAAAATACTGGGTTCATGTTCTTAAAATATTTATACGTCGTTGTCCACATTGATCTTCCATCCATTTGTGATCCCAAGGGGTTGACAAATATTACACCATCAATATCTAAATTCTACATGAAATAGCATATTTTAATTCAGCTTAGTATGTAACACGAGTTCAGGCCCCGATTTCTCGAAACAAACTTAAGTTTTTACTCAAATTTAAAACTGAGTTTGACAATTTGAAACA